TTGTAGGTGAACATATAAGATGGGAGATAATACTTGCAGCCACCTTTGGGAATTAAAATTTGTTACAAATAGGAAGCATCAAATAAAGAGTCTTCTTAACTGAGGTTTGTCCTCTACAAGGCTTTCTAAATATCAAACCAGGAATGCTTTGGGAGCTTACACTTTAAAAGCAACAAGAGACATAAAGGTTTTTATTTAGGCAATTTTATAAATGTTAAATACATGGTGGTAGTTGCTCAGTCATGTCTGACTCTTTGCGACCCCATGGACTGTAGCCTCCCAGATTTCTCTGTCCATGGAATTTTCCAGGCAAAGAAAACTGGAGTGGGTTGCCATTCCCCTTTCCAGGGGATCTTCCCCACCCAGGGATCTAATCGAGGTGTCTTGCATTGAGGGCAGCTTCTTTGCCATTTGAGCCACTAGGGAAGCCTCAAATGTTAAATATAAAGTCTTATAATTTATATTATTAAATTTGTTCAGATATTTGCTGAGCAAAGTAGTAGCCTCTACACCTTACATTAGGACCTTAATATAATGCCTGCTTTTGCATTAAACTCAGCAAAAACAAGACTGGGAGCTGACTGTGGCTCAGATCATGAACTCCTTATTGCCAAATTCAGACTTAAACTGAAGAAAGTAGGGAAAACCACTAGACCATTCAGGTATGACCTAAATCAAATCCCTTATGACTATATAGTGGAAGTGAGAAATAGATTTAAGGGACTAGATCTGCTAGACAGCCTGATGAACTATGGACAGAGGTTCCTGACATTGTACAGGAGACAGGGATCAAGACCATCCCCATGGAAAAGAAATGCAAAAAGGCAAAATGGCTGTCTGAGAAGGCCTTACAGATAGCTGTGAAAAGAAGAGAAGTGAAAAGCTAAGGAGAAAAGGAAAGATATTCCCATTTGAATGCAGAGTTCCAAAGAATAGCCAGGAGAGATAATAAAGCCTTCCTCAGTGATCAATGCAAAGAAATAGAGGAAAACAACAGAATGGGAAAAACTAGAGATCTCTTCAAGAAAATGAGAGATACCAAGGGAACATTTCACGTAAAGATGGGTTTGATAAAGGACAGAAATGGTATGGACCTAACAGAAGCAGAAGATATTAAGAAGAGGTGGCAAGAATACACAGAAGAACTGTACAAAAAAGATCTTCATGACCCAGATAATCACAATGGTGTGATCACTTACCTAGAGCCAGATATCCTGGAGTTTGAGGTCAGGTGGGCCTTGGAGGGCATCACTACGAACAAAGCTAGTGGATGTGATAGAATTCCAGTTGAGCTATTTCAAATCCTGAAAGATGATGCTGTCAAAGTGCTGCACTCAATATGCCAGCAAATTTGGAAAACTCAGCAGTGGCCACAGGACTGGAAAAGGTCCGTTTTCATTTCAATCCCTAAGGCAGTCCCAAAGAATGCTCAAAACTACTGCACAGTTGCACTCATCTCACATGCTAGTAAAGTAATGCTCAAAATTCTCCAAGCCAGGCTTCAGCAATATGTAAACGGAGAATTTCCAGATGCACAAGCGGGATTTGGAAAAGGGAGAGGAACCAGAGATCAAATTGCCAACATCCACTGGATCATCGAAAAAGCAAGAGAGTTCCAGAAAAACATCTATTTCTGCTTTATTGACTACACCAAAGCCTTCGACTGTGTGGATCATAATAAACTGTGGAAAATTCTGAAAGAGATGGGAATACCAGACCACCTGACCTGCCTCTTGAGAAGCCTGTATGCAGGTCAGGAAGCAACAGTTCGAACTGGACATGGAACAACAGACTGGTTCCAAATAGCAAAAGGAGTACGTCAAGGCTGTATATTGTCACCCTGCTTATTTAACTTCTATGCAGAGTACATCATGAGAAACGCTGGGCTGGAGGAAGCACAAGCTGGAATCAAGATTGCCGGGAGAAATATCACTAACCTCAGATATGCAGATGACACCACCCTTATGGCAGAAACTGAAGATGAACTAAAAAGCCTCTTGATGAAAGTGAAAGAGGAGAGTGAAAAAGTTGGCTTAAAGCTCAACATTCAGAAAACTAAGATCATGGCATCTGGTCCCATCACCTCATGGGAAATAGATGGGGAGACAGTGCAAACAGTGTCAGACTTTATTTTTTTGGGCTCCAAAATCACTGCAGATGGTGACTGCAGCCATGAAATTAAAGGACGCTTACTCCTTGGAAGAAAAGTTATGATCAACCTAGATAGCATATTAAAAAGCAGAGAGATTACTTTGCCAGCACAGGTCCGTCTGATCAAGGCTATGGTTTTTCCAGTGGTTATGTGTGGATGTGAGAGTTGGACTGTGAAGAAAGCTGAGCGCTGAACAATTGATGCTTTTGAACTGTGGTGTTGGAGAAGACTCTTGAGAGTCCCTTGGACTGCAAGGAGATCCAACCAGTCCATCCTGAAGGAGATCAGTCCTGGGTGTTCACTGGAAGGACTGATGCTGAAGCTGAAACTCTAATACTTTGGCCACCTGATGCGAAGAGTTGACTCGTTGGAAAAGACCCTGATGCTGGGAGGGATTGGGGGCAGGAGGAGAAGGGGACGACAGAGAATGAGATGGCTGGATGGCATCACCGACTCGATGGACATGAGTTTGAGTAAACTCCAGGAGTTGGTGATGGACAGGGAGGCCTGGCGTGCTGCAATTCATGGGGTCGCAAAGAGTCGGACACAACTGAGTGAACTGAACTGAATGTCAGTCATGTCATTCATGGTGTCTATTTTACTCATTTGCATTGTTCTGAGTGTAAGTCGACTTGATAAAAATCTGATTTAACTGTATATCTGGGTATAATTTTAAAAGTACAACTCAGATATGCATCATATGGATTCCTGGTGACTAGTCTCTGGGGACTAGAATGCGTGATATTATCACATATAGCAGCAGTATAAGTTATCTGCTCTAGCTCTTGAAATGTAGTAGTTATTTTCTCTTAAAAATGACATTTAAAAAAATGGTTCTGTGGCCTCCTTTTTTTGGTTGTTTTGTTAGTTAGCTAACTTTCTCTAGTTTAAAGTTTTTTTGTGTGTGTTTCTCAGTGAAGGGCAGTTTTGCCTCCCTCAAGAGACACTGGACGGTTTTTGGAGATGTTTTTAGTTGTCAAACTGGGTAGATGTTTTTGGCTTCTGGTGGGTAGAGACCAGAGATACCACCAAGCGTCTTAGTGCACATGGCAGCCCCTCCCACTAAGAATTATCTGGCCTAAAATGTCTATAATGTTGACATTGAGGAACCCTGGACTAGATGATCGTTAGAATCTTGCCCTCCTCTGAAAGTTCTTAAGAATTTTTTTCAGGTTGCTATAATAAAGAATGAATACTCAGAACATACAGGACAATGTGGTCCCAGGACCTGCTCTGACAGCATGTTTAACCAAAGACTAGTGGGGCAGAGTTTTAAGTTTCTATTTGTATTTCCCATAGTATTCAATCCAGACTTTTATTACTTGATAAATGTTCTGTGAACTTAATATATGACCTTTCAGATTTCCTTCTCCCTCTCCAGTTTTTAATTGTAATTATGGCAGAATCACTGATTGACTTTTCGGGTAATTCTGTCACTTGAATGAATCTGAAAATAAGACTAAGTGAGAATTGTCAGTGAAAATGGAGTTAGGAAGAAAAACTTCTAAAATAAGGTTCATGTCAGAAAGCCACATTAGCCAAATATGTGTATATGTGTGATTCAGGTATACTATATTGGCTGTGCTAGTGGGTGTTAATTACCAATCTTGTAAATCTCCTCCCTTCAAATTCTATCTGTTTGAACTATTCCTGTCTAAATTTAGCCTTTGATGCTCAATAATTCTTTCCGTGTTTAATGGAGGTTTTATTTTGTAATTACTTTCTTTAATGAAGTGCAGTTCTTCTTTACATACATAGTCCATGTTGTCTCATTTTCTTTCAGTATTCTGTAGTCAGGGCTTCTTTCTAAATGTATTGAATGTGTCAGAATTGCTTAGCTAATGTTACTGTTTTGATTTCCTCCTCATTTCTAATGTTCTCATTTTCTCCTATTTCTCCCATTTCTGAAGCCCTGATTTGGGAATCTCTAAACTGCATAATGCTAATCCTAATTGTGGGACTATAAATAGAATTCTTTTAAAGTATTTCTTCACATATAATTTTTCTTTTTATCAGGGATTAGGAATTTTTGGTGTGTTTGTTTCAAAAAGTTCTGCCTTCTATTTCTCTCCCTATCATTGATTATTATTGTGTAGATGTTACTGTTCTGGTTAGTGTTGTGATATCAATGACTTACAGTGAACCATGATATATAAAATGCCAAATTTAAAGATTAAAGCTCCTCGCCCTTTTAAAAAGAAACAGAAAAGCATCGAACTTTCTTATTCCTATAAAGATGAATATTGGGGATTTGGGAAGATTAGGGAATATATTGAATATCTATTTGAAAAAGTTGTCAATATGAGTCATTGATTTCATGGCACATCCAGGCGCCTGTAGGTGCTCAAGAACAAGTTGTTTAAAATACATAGAGTTAACTAAATGGCAAATGAATATTTCTGTATACTTTGCTTCCATGATGCTGAAGAGTTGAGATTAAAATGTAACAGTATGTTATGAATTCACAGAAAATCTTACTAAAATGAAGCTGAACTAAAATGTGATTTAAGGAACAAAAAAGGAAAAGAATGCTAATTGAGTTCATTTATTTGCTTAGTATTATATGTAGAAAATTTGGCCTTGAAATATTCCATTTCATATATCAGCAGAACTCTCCTTAGGCAATATTAATTTCATTTACTGCTGCTTAATTTTTTTTGTTGTTTTGCATTTATATAATGTTCCAAGATGCAGAAATATTCTTATTTCTGGTGATTTGGTATACTTATTGAACTACATGTTACTATTTTACTGTCAATGTCTCAAAATAGAAATTGGTTCCCTGGGTGGTAGTGAGATTTTTCCTTATCTATGCAAATTATGAATCTCAGTTTTTCTTATAATACAGGATGATGAAAACAATAACTCGTCTTCACAAAGCTATGGTGTTTCTTGAATATTTCACAAGTAATTCTTGGGTTTGGAATACTGACAATGTCAATATGTTAATGAATCAACTGAACCCTGAAGATAAAAAGGCAAGTATTTTTTGTTTTATATTAGAAAATAAGGAGCATACTAATTAGAGTATGCTAATTAGCAACCTGAGAAATAATTGGATATTTTCCACAACCATTGTGCAATAAGAAAGTTGATCTATTTATAGTGTCCCATTTTCAATCATAATTGGTAATAAAATAAAGTTGCTTTATCTTAGAATTTTATAATTAAGTATGAGAGTAGCAGAAATATTTTCAAAGCATGATTGAAATGTTGATTCTCTTTTTCTCTTTTAATGTCAGGTTCAAAGAGAATTTTTACTTCTTTATGCATTTTCCCCCCCAAATACTGTTTAAGTTTTAAGCAAAACGTCTCAGAAATTGCTTTTCAAATAGTCTTCTACTTTTTGCCATTCCACATTTTGCTTTCTGTTAGTTTGAAACTTAAATTCTTATGAATTTTCTTTTTAAGGTTACCTTAGATATTTGACCATGCATACTTAACAAAAATTGAGAAATTTGTATAGCCTCTTCCTTAATGACACTTAGGACCATAAAATGTTTTAGCTCTGATTACCACCCCCCACTAACTTACGTGGTTATATGTTACTTTAGTGTTCTACTTAAATCTCATAGTTGGAAATGATTATTTTATTTAGCTTTGTTGTTGTTGCTAAGTAGTGTCCAACTCTTTTTGCTCCTGCACAGACTGTAGCTCACCAGGCTCCTCTGTTCATGGGATTTCCTAGGCAAAATATTGGAGAGGTCGCCATTTCCTTCTCCAGGGGATCTTCCTGACCCAGGGATCGAACCAGCATCTCCTGCATTGGCAGGTGGTTTCTTTACCACTGAGCCATCAGGGAATCCTGGAGGCTGATTTTTTCCTGCTTTAATATCATTTCTTAATTTAGCAAGGCCTAATAAAATATTGACAGTTCCACCTTTTCTTGGATAATGCAAAGGCTAAAATGTGTAATCTAGTCAATTAGCATTCATATAGATTTACCAGCATAGTTGTCTTTTTACTGCTCTTATTTCTTCCTCCATCCTCCTCTGATGATTTCAGACTTCAGTCTGGAATCATTTTCATTCTGCCTAAAGAGTACCCACTAGTGTACTTTCTCTAGTGTTTGTCTTCTATTGGTGTTAGATTATCTCAGTTTTTATTCTTGGAGTATTTTTATTCTTCAATGATATTCATACTGCTGTAGATTTCTATGTTAGCAAGCTTTCTTTGAGCACTTGGAAGATAACTTCTCATAATCTTTCTGCTTCCATTGCTTCTTTTGAGATGTCAGTGGTCAGGCTAGTAGCTGTTTCTTTGGAGGTAATCTACAGTGCCTCTTCTGGTTTAAAAAAATTTTCTTTCTTTGACTTTCAGCAGTTTTACTCTAATATGTATAGATACATGTATGTATATATGGTATGTGTGTGTTTTGAATCTGTGGCTTGATGGCTCACAATTTTTGGAAAATTTCCAGCCATTGTCTTTTTAGATACTGCTTTTTTTCTATTCTTTTTCACTTTTCCTGTGGGAATCCAGTTACTCAAATGTATGACCTTCTCATATTATCTCATATCTTAAGTCTCCATTGCTGTGCTTTGGTACTTTAATGATTTATTTATGGTAGCTTTTTTATTTTTAGTCTAGAGCTTGCTATTTTCAGAGAGGTGTGATGGTAAATTAAATAATTTATTTAAATTGAATAATCTGTTTATCACACCAAAAAAATTACCTGATTGTGTGTGGAAGAGCTCTGAGCAGAGTATAGGCCCTTTTATTTTGTCATGAAGTAGCATTTTTATAATGCTTTCTTTTCTATATTTATCTACTATTTTCATCAAATGGCCTACTTCCTGTTACCTAAACTCCTAAGCCAGCTTTCATTCTTCTTAAAAAAAGAAAGTCACATTCTTTCTCTTAATGTCAATACTATTCTCTAGGAAAATTAATCTGTGTAATATGCAGGATGTTCAAAAGGAAGAAATACTGTAGATAGAAGTAAACTGGAAATAAGTGCATTGTTTCTGTGTTTAATGGAAGATAATGCAATAGGAGTAAGAACTTTTTTTGTGAGTAGCAGTAAGATTTTAAAAATTAATATGGTAAACATTTTGTAAGCATGTCCTGTGGAATTAGCCTTTGGAAAAAGTTAATTTTTGACTGGTTATGAAAAAAATTATTCAAGAAAATAACCAGTAATTTTTTTGTTTGTGTAGACTTTTAATATTGATGTACGGCAGTTACATTGGGCAGAATATATAGAGAACTACTGTATGGGAACTAAGAAATATGTACTGAATGAAGAAATGTCTGGCCTTCCTGCAGCTAGAAAACATCTGAACAAGTAAGTTTTATATGGGTTTGATTTCATCTTGTCTTCCTTATGAAATAGTTTTTTCCTAAGCTGTTAAATTGAGATATTGCTAATAATATATTGTATTTAGGAAAGTGGTTGCCTTTGGACTGTAACTCTGGTAGTTTGATTTAACCTATGACTATTGAAGCTTACTGTTTTCATCAGTTTATACTATTCATTAGTAAGAAAGTCAAGTGGAATTTAGTTTTAAATATCACTTTCATCTTCCCTTATTGCTACTGAAGAAGTAAAGATATCAGGAGATAATAAAAATGTATTTTAAACTGGAGATAATGTAAAGTTTCTTCTATCTTATTGAAATACATCTTTAGAAGAGGAAAAGAGATCTAATAATACATTATTCAGTGTAGAGCTTTTTCTTTGTTTGTAAAATAGTTATTCTTTTTCCCTTCAGTTCAGTTCAGTTCAGTCGCTCAGCCGTGTCTGACTCTTTGCAACCCCATGAATTGCAGCACGCCAGGCCTCCCTGTCCATCACCAACTCCCGGAGTTTACTCAAACTCATGTCCATCGAGTCGGTGATGCCATCCAGCCATCTCATTCTCTGTCATCCCCTTCTCCTCCTGCCCCCAATCCCTCCCAGCATCAGGGTCTTTTCCAACGAGTCAACTCTTCGCATCAGGTGGCCAAAGTATTGGAGTTTCAGCTTCAGCATCAGTCCTTCCAGTGAACACCCAGGACTGATCTCCTTCAGGATGGACTGGTTGGATCTCCTTGCAGTCCAAGGGACTCTCAAGAGTCTTCTCCAACACCACAGTTCAAAAGCATCAATTGTTCGGCGCTCATCTTTCTTCACAGTCCAACTCTCACATCCACACATAACCACTGGAAAAACCATAGCCTTGATCAGATGGACCTTTGTTGGCAAAGTAATCTCTCTGCTTTTTAATATGCTATCTAGGTTGATCATAACTTTTCTTCCAAGGAGTAAGCGTCCTTTAATTTCATGGCTGCAGTCACCATCTGCAGTGATTTTGGAGCCCAAAAAAATAAAAGTCTGACACTGTTTGCACTGTCTCCCCATCTATTTCCCATGAGGTGATGGGACCAGATGCCATGATCTTAGTTTTCTGAATGTTGAGCTTTAAGCCAACTTTTTCACTCTCCTCTTTCACTTTCATCATGAGGCTTTTTAGTTCTTCTTCACTTTTCTGCCATAAGGGTGGTGTCATCTGCATATCTGAGGTTAGTGATATTTCTCCCGGCAATCTTGATTCCAGCTTGTGCTTCCTCCAGCCCAGCGTTTCTCATGATGTACTCTGCATAGAAGTTAAATAAGCAGGGTGACAATATACAGCCTTGACGTACTCCTTTTGCTATTTGGAACCAGTCTGTTGTTCCATGTCCAGTTCGAACTGTTGCTTCCTGACCTGCATACAGGCTTCTCAAGAGGCAGGTCAGGTGGTCTGGTATTCCCATCTCTTTCAGAATTTTCCACAGTTTATTATGATCCACACAGTCGAAGGCTTTGGTGTAGTCAATAAAGCAGAAATAGATGTTTTTCTGGAACTCTCTTGCTTTTTCGATGATCCAGTGGATGTTGGCAATTTGATCTCTGGTTCCTCTCCCTTTTCCAAATCCCGCTTGTGCATCTGGAAATTCTCCGTTTATGTATTGCTGAAGCCTGGCTTGGAGAATTTTGAGCATTACTTTACTAGCATGTGAGATGAGTGCAATTGTGCGGTAGTTTGAGCACTCTTTGGGATTGCCTTTCTTAGGGATTGGAGTGAAAACGGACCTTTTCCAGTCCTGTGGCCACTGCTGAGTTTTCCAAATTTGCTGGCATATTGAGTGCAGCACTTTGACAGCATCATCTTTCAGGATTTGAAATAGCTCAACTGGAATTCTATCACATCCACTAACTTTGTTCGTAGTGATGCTTTCTAAGGCCCGCTTGACTTCACATTCCAGGATGTCTGGCTTTAGGTGAGTGATCACACCATTGTGATTATCTGGGTCGTGAAGATCTTTTTTGTACAGTTCTTCTGTGTATTCTTGCCACCTCTTCTTAATATCTTCTGCTTCTGTTAGGTCCATACCATTTCTGTCCTTTATCAAACCCATCTTTACGTGAAATGTTCCCTTGGTATCTCTCATTTTCTTGAAGAGATCTGTAGTCTTTCACATTCTTTTCCCCTTAGTCTCTTATAAAACTAATATGTACTAATTGTTAAAAAACACTTAGAAAACAGAAGAGAGAAAAGTACTATTAATCTATTATTCAGAGATGCAATTAGTTTTAATAGTAATCTCTTTTATTCATAGTAATTTTAATACCCTTTTTATAACAGTTTTCAAAACTCACATTATTCTTGCTCTTTCAACTCTTTGAGACTTTATAGGGCAGATAGTTGTGTAGATGAAGAAATGGAGACTTAGGGAAGTTGTATTTGAAAGGTCATATTGTATTAAGTGGCAGAGCAATGTTCTTTTGTCTACACCCATTGCTCATATATTGTACAGTTAAGCATTGAATAACATGGATTTGAACTGTGTGGGTCCATTTATACGTGGTGTTTTTTCAATAAATACATACTATAATACCACACAATGTGAAGTTGGTTAAATTTACTGATATGGAAATACAGGTAAGAAGGGCTGACTATAAAGTTATATTTGGATTTTCAATTGTGTGCAGGATTGATGCCCCAACCCCCACATTGTTTAAGGATCAGCTGTAGTCCTATATCTTTCACTGCCTGTTTAAGTTAGTGGAATTTATGTAATGTTATGGCATACCTAAAGAATTTAGATTCCTTTCTAACACCATTAAAAAAACATCAAAAATGTTTTGAAACATGAGCATCTTGCTCTTTGAGAATGGGAGGGTCTTCCTGTGTAGAGCAAGTACCATGTTTCATTCATGGTATGAGGACTTGTCCAGTTGACTTTTGATCTTGACAGAGAGCTGTAACTGAAGGAGTAAGTTCTTTTGTCTGACAGCTTGCAAGCAGCTAAAGATGTCCAAAAATATTTATTTTGTCTGTAGGATGATGTATGTAATGAATCTCCCTTTTTAGATGAGATAAGCTCTGGAAGTACAAGAGATATTTCTGTTTTACCCAACATACTTGCTGTCTAGCACCGTTTAGGGCATACAGAAGGCTGCTTAATAGTACTTGTTAATAAGTAAATTTACATCCCAAATGTTACAAAAAACTTTGTGTTATTATTGTTAATAGAAGTAATGCATTGTTTGATGGACTGCTGTCCAGAATGTGCAGTCAGGTGTTTCTGATGTTTGCCAGCTTTCTAATTTCTAGTTAATTTTTAAGTAAGTTTCAAATTAATATGGATTTGAACTTTGATTAGATTAAGAATTGAATATGAATTATCTGCTATCCAACAATATTCTTTTCTAGAAGATAGTATCCCAATGCATTTCTTGATCTGCTTTCCAGGTTGAGGAACATACGTTACGGTTTCAATACTATCCTTGTGATCCTGATTTGGCGCATTTTTATTGCAAGATCACAAATGGCAAGAAACATCTGGTACTTTGTGGTTAGTCTGTGTTACAAGTTTCTGTCTTACTTCCGAGCATCCAGCACTATGAGATACTGAAGACAAGAATTTAGCATTAGAACATCTATGCATATGGTGGTCTAAATGCGTAAAATGTACTTAAGTCATTTCACCTTTTGTCAAGACATTAAACCATCTTAGCTCAGAATGTGGAGTAAATTATGGTACATTTTATGTAACATTTTAATGTATACTCATAAAAGCCTAGTGAATACACTGTGGTATGCCAACTCAAATCTGTAATAGCCACCAAAACCATGACTTAACATTTTGATCCCTGGGGGAATAGGGTTGGGTAAGGGTAGGAGGGGGAGATAGGAATACTGACCAGTATAACTGTGCAATTCTGGAACATACTAATTAAAATATGCCTTAACATAGAGTGATTTTCTAATTATAATATTTAGTACAGTGGAAAGCATTTATTTGGATGGGAATACTAGCTAAGTTGGTAGATATTTGATTCTTCAGTGTTTGATTTTTATCATCAGTTGAAGTGATTTTTAGTTTTGTTAAAATTAAAGCCAGACTATTTTCACATCATCCTGTAAGTTACTGAATGGTCTCAAATGTGAAAGGCACATTTTCATTTTCCTTCTTTCTCTGGTTAGAGGTCTGATACATATCATTTTCTATAAGCAATCAGTTACTTTCATAATCAGAAGGCTATATATTATTATAGAGACCCTACTGGATCTAAATGAGTTTGAGAATCCATATCAGCATATGCCATGTGTTTTTAGAAGGAAAATGAAAATTCACTAAAACTATTAGTATTAAAAAGAATAGGAGTACATTTTTCTTGACCACATTATGACCAAATAACAACCAATTCTGTGACATTTTGTTCCTGTTTTGAAGCTGGATGATTCCTTGAGACCTTGATAATGAGGTGTGGGCACAGGGAGGAGTTCATCATACTTGTGCTCGCCTCCCTTTATAGATTTTACTAACGGGACTTTAAAAGGCTTATACTGTCCAATTAAAGCTGAAAGTACATTACTATGGAAGACTGTATTTGCAGGTAGTCATAACATTAAGAAAATGTTCTCATATGTGTGTAAACACATACTAACTTTTGACCTTGAGAGCTGAATTCCTTCAAGAAAAATAATGCATAGAATAATGTGTATAAGATTAAATAAAGAACTTTATTTACATACCACATAAAGTAGCAAACTGTTGAATGAGTTTAAAGATACCTTTTATTTTTGTGCATGTGGTTTTAGCTTTTAGAAAGAAATGAGTTATAGAAACAAGTCATAGCAAGAAAATTGATGTATATTTTAATGATACATTATAATTCCCTTTAAATCTTAATAGTAGTTAATTCTCCTTACTGTTGTAACACACATTTGGTTTAACAGATCAGCGTAACATGTTCTAATTTAGCTGATCAAGTTGTACTATATTTAAATCATTAACAGTGTATCTTGAATATGTTTGATGAAGTCAGTTTACAATACAGAAAGTTACATAGAACTTTAATCTTAATTTTCTTCGTCAATTCAGATGCAATGTATAAGAAGTTTATTTTATTATTGTGAAAAAATTAAATGTAAAGGAAATCACCTTCTTCCATGCAGATGTATAATCTTGAAAAGGAGAATGCTTCCATGTTGAAGCCAGATTTTCTGTAGTAAACTTTTAAAACATTATTTTAAAAGAAATATGTATATAAATATATATTATATATTCTTTGCAGTGATACTGAAGTCTCTGGTCTAGGACCATACCTTTTATAAGGTGTGAGAGACCATGGCAGTGTCTAAGAATGGAATAAATGATGATGCCTTTGATTTAAAGTGGCCCACATAATTAACTATAGATGCTCTATCCTTTGAATGCTCCGTCTCTCCAATACATTTCCATAATGTGTTGAAAATATGCTAACATTTGTATGATTTTTATACATCTGCTGAATATACTTAGATGAATTATCTGTATCTTGCAAAAGAATCAGGTACAACTTTAGCAGGCATGTGAAGTACATGGGAGGTGTGTATCTTTGAACTCTGTCATTATTATTGTAATCTAACTTGAGGAAATGATAATTGGGAGGGTGCTAAGGCCACTGCATTAATTTTGTGTGTTTAGAATTCTTTTGTTAAAAGAAAGCTAATGAATAAATTAATATGTCATTCTGGAACTTAAAAGTTTTAAAATTAGTATAAAAACATACATAGGTTGTTAATCCTCACCAACTTGACTTTGAGCTTAACTCAGACATAAAGATTTTAGAAATCACTTGTATTGGTGTCATTTGCTAGACCTGGTTTTTTAGTTCTTTCTGATTATATTTTTACACTCAGACTCAAATTTTAACAGGATAGCCTGTTAAATAAATCTAATAAATCATTTAACTCATTTGATAAAGCTACATTTTAAACATTGTTTTTTCCCCCATTCACTCTTGATTCTTATAATTCTGGCATATGCATTTGTCACTTGTGAAGTCATTGTAACTATAAGTAAACTTGACTTGGCAACATTAATATGTTTAATAACTCATCACCGAAAAGCATGGCAATACATTCTTTGACTTGGGGATGGCATAAAATAAACATTTTCTGAATATGTGTAATAAAGTTTGGAAGCAGGAAGAGAAAAATCTTATTTCTCTCCCTTTTCTGTGCTTGTCTGTAGGAACTGGTTCAGGGTTTTTTGCTCTTTTGTTTTAAATGTATATCGATAGTTTTTTATAAGAAATAGAAGCATTATTGGGTGCCTTTGTTTGTAAACCAAAAAGTAATAAATGAATCCCTATATTTCCATTATAGTATTTGTTTTTTTATAATAATTGTCCTGAAAGTTACTCATGAGGTAATGTGGTTAGAATTACAGGAAACAGTTCTCACTTACACTTTTTACCTTTCTTAAGATGTATTCATTATTTTTTTGTATCCTGATTTTATTGAATTCTAAGTCTCTTACACCTCAGTTTAGGGGAAGCACATAGGCAGGATGAATACTTTGTGTTAAAATATTATTTTTATTTATTAGCTGGAATGAGGTGGTTTTTCTGAAAACAGTGCCAGGGTGTCAGTTAAGTTTCAGGTACTCTCCTCCCTGTTGAATGATAGCATATTAATTTATAAATACATTTGTTGTAACTTGTCTGTCAAGTAAGTATAAAGAACCATTCATTAGTAATAGAGTGTAACCATTAAAAAGGAGAGAGCTGATATCAGACCAGGGTACAGGTGAATATAAATGGCCTTCCAAGCCAAGCTCTTCTAGGCTTGACTCTTAAGTCATGACTTGAAACTGTTGGCACTGACTTGTTCTATTTTGAGAAAAACTCCCTATTCTTTTGCATGAGCAACTAGAGAAAGGAATGTATACTGCGTAACTTAATATAGAAATGAGTTAATTAAATCTACAGTCTCTGTGATAAATAAATATGAAATATTTTCTTATTGAATTAATATTTTTATCTTGAGGTATTTTCTAGTCATAGAATGAATGTCTTTTTTTTTTAATGGTGATACTCTTAGCATACATCTCTATCATTAAGATTCCTAAACAAATCCTCTTTGTCGTTTGAGCATATTTGTTAAATAATTCCTTTGATTTTTCTTTATTAAAAAAATTTGATTAACATTAAGTTTGACGTGCTCTTTTACAAGTTGATGGCTGTAAACTATATTTATATAGAAAATGTTAAGTGATAAGTATGAGTTTAGTATCTTTATGGTTGGCTAATAAGGCTATAATTGTCTTTTTCTTTTTCTCCCTTCCTTTTCCTTCTTCCCTCCTCACTCCTTCCCTCCCTCTCTCCTTCCTTCCCTTTCTTCCTTCATCACAGATCACATATAATACCTGTATTTTTATACAAGATGAAGAGACAGTGGAGATTTTTCTGAATTCATTAAAAAAAATAAGCATTCTTAATTATTCTCTTCAAAATATTTACCTTAAGATTCTCTCCTAGACATTTGACTTAGTTGTATGTTACAACTTTATGGGGTTGAATTAAGGATCCTCCAGAGGTGCTTTGGAAGCAGAATTCCTTTATTTTCTGCTGTTATACAGAATATCTAATTCTTTATGCTCTTTTTTTCTTTCTCTTTCCACATTTATCTGTGAAGAGCTTATCTTCAGTTTTTGAGAGCAAAGTATAACTAGAAAGTTTAGGCTGAAACACAAATTATTAATGCCAATAGTTGATGGTCCTTGAACTACGAAGATAATCTCATGTGACTCAACCTAGTATTAGAATGGCTTTCTTTATCTTTTAACAAACACACCTGAATGTAAACATACAGATGCGTGTGATTTTATTTAAAGTAGTCATCCCAGGAGAATGTGTATTTATTTCATTAGTCCTTAAATTTTTGACATCTAATACCTACTTTTCTGTTTTATGTTACATCTTTCACAACTTTCTGTCATTTTCCCCAACTAGGTTGTTTTTCTTGAGAAGAAAACCAGCTTGAACCTATTACAGTATAGAAATAACACTAGTGAACACTTGTTGAGCACGTGTACGAGGCACTACCTTAAGCATTTTACATGTATTAACCCATTTTTGCATAGCAGCCCTTTGAGGAGGGCATCTCTGTTTACCCATGTTTTATAGGTGTGATAACTAAGGTGTGTGATGTTAGTAATTTATCCATGTTACACTGCTAGTGGCAGAGCCAAGGTTTGAACTCAGGTAGTTTAGCACCAAAGCCTGCTACACATGTCCATTACGCTATACCATCTTTTATTATAGGAACACATGTACATGTGTTGTGTTAGGCACTATGTTTTATATATTGCAACTATCTGTTTATCTATCACTCAGCACACTGTAAACTTGTCAGTGGTTTGAATTGGAATATGACACACTACCTACCATTTAGGATCATGTGACTTAATTAACATAGGTAGGTAAACATAGTTCAATTAACATACAAAGAACAAAATACTAAAAGTACAAAGGAGTGATATACTGCTTAGTGTTTTCAGGGAAGAGCTTATACAGGCACATTTGAATTGTGGTTTTAAGTCTGATTGGAAGAATGCTGGGAAAGGAAGCATTCCAGGTACAG